CCTGCATTACATTTGAAGAAATTCAATAATGAAAAATCTGCATAAATGTATATCTATTTCTCGCATTGTGATAAAACAACGGTACATAGAGCCATCGAATTTTGCATGACGTAATCCTCCTACGAATATGGGCATGTGCAAGCGCAAATTTGAAATTTGTTTTATTGTCGATTTCATATTTTGTAAACCATTAACGAATTTTTGAGTAACAAACTCAACGATTTAAAAACGAGCAATGGCAACACTCTACGGCGGTCGAAGAAACGTTTTTATCTCCAGCGGGCGCGGAACTATGTATCGGAAATTCTAAAGATAGGCTCATTTTAAAATTATTTTGCGACATTGGTACTGAACTGAATTTTATAGTTTAAGTGGAAAGAACACGATATTTAATAAATAAAGGTAACGCACAAAGCGTTAAAAAAACGCCCCGTTGGACGTAATTTAAGATCTGAAACCTTTCAGATTTTTTTGGAGAGGGACTTGTTTTTTTTTTTTTTTCTTTATCTATTTTCGGATACATTGTGTAAAAATATTTGGTAATTGTAAAATTATTATAATAAGTTAAAGAAATATCAAAACTGCTAAAACTTTTGGCGACCCTCTGCCACAGGTAACGTGACCCCATAGGGGTCGCGACCCACAGTTTAAGAAACTCTGGTCTAGCGAATGTACTTTTTAACTAAGCTGCATTTATAAAACTCCAGTGTACAAATAATGTAATTAGCATTGTAAAATTAAATTTTAATCTATTGCAAAATAGTTTTATATTACTCTATAATCGATAATGACTTCGTTCTTTTTAATATTCAAACTAGACCGATTAAGCATGTAGCCTGATAGCTACTGCCAGTAAATTAATATAGTCCTAATCTTTTATCCTCAGTTTTACTCTATTTAAGCTAATATACCCGAAATTTTGTGTTAAAGAAATCTGTTTTTTATCCTAAAGCACTATATCTGAATTGAAATAGTTTAGTAACATAAAATAAATGTGTAAAACAAAGGAAATGTATCTAATAAAAATGTTTGAAATTTTTAATAACAGAATGACGAGCCAACGTTACCTCTAAAAAAGGTAAATTCTAAATTTAGTTCAATAATGCCTGCTTCCAATAATGCCTGCTACCGTTTAAAAAAGCCCGTATGTCAATGTATATTAAAAACATAGAGAGAAAAAGCACTTTAAGTTAAAGTCTTTGCTGAAAGATAAAGGAGAATACTTTGGTTTTAAAACTTAACATTTTTGCTCACATGTTGTGTATCGTTGAAATACAAAACTGCAAATGAAGAGCTTTTGAAAATAATTTACTTTGGTATTTTGCTATTCATTTTTTTTTTCTTGTCCACATGGAATCCTAAGAGAGTTTTGACTTTCTACATATCTCGCAGATTATACCACAGTAGAATTATTCATTAAATTTTAGAAGTTTTCCTTTGCATAATTTTTTATTATCATAAAGAACTCTAAAGTTATTAGGGGCACTAGGGCTTCTAAATGAAAAGACGCTTTTGTGAAGGATTTTCTAAGGGAATCTGATTTTTATTCAGGCTACACATAACAACAAAAATCCCAGAAACGTCAGCCCGTACTTTGATAAATGACTCTGAAGTGAGCTAACACTGTTCAGCAATCTTAACTAATGGCTACAAATAAGCAACGACGTTTATGGAGTACCATGTCACAGACTTAACAAGAAGTGCACACTGACTAGAAATCTTAACTTAGGCCTTTCCAGTCAAGTCACCATGAGCATTTCAGCCAAGCCACCATGATACATACATAGTACAAAATAAGGTTTTACTGTTGAAATTTCGGGCAAAGATTGTATTTAGAAAGTTAAGCTTTTCACATAAGATTAAAAGAAACATTGTAGATTGCTCGATTAATTGACTTTTGAAAATGCACCTGATTGTTACCTATGTTAAGGTAGAAATAACTCATGTTCATATAATGTATAAGCATAAACTCAAAGATTCCGCGCAATCAATGTGTTCTTTAGAAACAGAGCCCGAGACGAATGATCACTGTTCCGCGGTCTTCTGTATTGGTCAATTCTATTTACAGTTGCCTTAAAATATTTATTAGTTTGTTTATTGTTTGTGCTCCTTATTATATAATGTACAGTAGTTGTGATTACATTAAGATTACTGGAATGTTTTAGTTACCTTCCAAAATTATGTTTATGAATGCAGCAACTAGTGCGTTAAAAAATCTCGCGTGTAATGAATACGTTCCGTATTTCAGTCTTCCAGGACATAACAATTTTGCTTCAAAAAATAATTCTGCACTTTTACGAATTCAACGAAACTTCTGGAAAAACTAGAGTCAGCTTTCTGATAAAAGAAAGATAATAATAGCCAAAAAGAAAAAAGTAGCAGAACAAAATAGACATTGCAAAGGGTGTGGTTGGAAAAAACATTACTTAAAGCAAACATGGCTAGTACTCACATTTTAACATTTCTGTCATCTGTCATTTCTGTTACCTAGTATTCCCACTGAAACATCTAATTATGTTCTCTCAGTTGGAGGTTTTAAACAAGACTAATTTCAAATGTACTTTAGTTGTGACTAACAACGTTGAATGATAAAAGAGACTGGCTTGGCATACTTAACTCTAATTTTCATTGAAGTAGATTAAGCATACTTGAAATATTTTGAAACACATAGAATAAAAATACTGCATAGAGAATCACTATTAGATCTATTCCCATCATCGGCATTAAGTGTGTAAGACGCACCTTAAAATTAAACCCAAAAAAAATTCCAATATGGAAATTAGAATATATAATATAAGACACTGAAGTAGAATTTACCTTAATAATTTAAATGGTGAACTTCGTTCGGAGTCACCTAAATATAGAGAAATATTTTTAAAACATTATATAATATATAAACATCTAAATACGTATAAATCCAAGTGTTATAGATTTCTCCTTAAGTAAAAACAAACGCCATTATTTACAAATCACAAAACTAAATAGTTTCACTAAAGCAACTTTAAAACTCGACAGAAAAGAATTCCAATTTAAAAAATCCACCTTTTAACTCTGTATTTCAGTTTCAATTACAGAATAATATAAAAGGTGCCAGAATGTTAGAAACGTAAAATAGGGTTTCAGCAAAAAACGTATAAAGAATAAGCTTGCAATCTGCACTACAAAGACCAAACATTACCTCACTTGTGTTGCAACCACACTCATGAGAACAATAGGAATCAACTCCCTATGAGCCGTTGGCTATCAACGGCGCATTAGAATACGAATATCACAGCTTTAGCAACAAACCCAAAAATTTATATCATTGTTTAAATGCATCTATCTAAACGAGTGCGACTACGGATAAATTGTCAACATTCGCAATACCAGATGTTTCCTATCACCAGTCGCCGAGCTACTGAATATACAGAGCAACTGTGGTACGAATTTATCACAAAAGCAGAAAAGCCTCGTGAATCGTGCAAAAGGTGATCGTAAACTATGTGATCTGATGTGCGAGGTGTTCAGAGACTCAAATCGTTTCAATGGTAAGAAGCCATAACCTTAAATCAGATTACAATACTCTTCAACACAGATTTACTGTCCAGGGTCTATACAAAGATTGTTCGTGGAAAAACTGGCGCAACTCGATTATAACAGTCCACAGCGATCTTGGGTTTTACTGTCTGTCCAGTGGAAGGTAGAAGAGTAGAAATGGGTTATCTGGTCTGATAAGTAGAATAATTTCAAAAGAAGTAGAATAATTTTCGTTAATTCAATTCATTAAACAAAGTTTAAACGTTAATAGTATGATTTAGACCAAAGAGTTTTGGGCTTCAGTTTTAAATGCATTTTATATATGAACCTCTTAATGTATTCTACTACGTAAGATCTTCTACATCAAAATTCTACAGATGTAAAAATAGTTATTAAACGATCAACGAGAATCTTGGTAATATTTCGGCAGTAAGTTAACACTGAATAAGTTAAGTTTCATTCTATATAATGTACATATCTTAGTAGATTAAATCGAAGTGAATGTGCAAACTGTTCAAGGAAATGTTTTGATAGAGCTCCTGAAAAGCATTCATATGAAAAAGGGAGCAATTATGCTGAATTTCTGCACTATAAACTAAATTACAAAATTACATAAAATTTGAGCAAAGCATGCTAAATTTATATAAATTTGAGAAAAACATACCATTGCTACAGTCTGTTAGATATATCGTAATAAATAATGCACTTAAAATGAAAAAAATTGAACAAAACGTAAATTAAAAAATTCGTGATTTACCTCTACAAAAACAAAATAACATTTTTAAGCGCTTAGATGGTAGGCAAATAAACAACAAATAGTTTATGAAGTTTGTATTAAAAACTAAAACTATACTCGGAGGCACAAACAGCCCATCGAGATCCATGGCCGGCAGTGCTCTGATATTCAGCTGGGTGCTATAAAATATATACATATCTCTTACACTTATAAATGCGAAAACAGAAAAACAATCATTTTTAATGCTTAGATATTATAAGGTATTTCTCCCACTTCTCTAGTGTGTCTTCGTGGTGTAACGGTAGCACGCTGGGCCGGTATTCCAGAGGTCCGTGGTTCGATTCCCGGCGAAGGCGGTTGCATATTTTTCATCTTTTCTGCTTCCAATTAACCTAATGTCTCTACAATATAAGTTTCGAAAAGAAATACTTACCTACTTTTCTACTCCTTAATACTGAAAACTTTAATGGTGAAAAATTAAAAATGATAAGAATTCTTACGTCGTGAAACTGGTAAAGACCTAATGCCTCAACTTCATCACGAAATCTCCAAAGTGTTTTCCGTCTAATTTCCTTTCATTATATATCGAATTTCACGCTTATATAAAGGAGAGTAAAAGCTAATTGTCAAGCTAATGAATACCAATATAAATTTTGCAGACATGTTCCACAGGAACTTTGATCCGTGCATAAAATTTGTAGTATAATATGTGTACTTATATAATGATCAGAAATTTTGATTTCTTTCAGGTATAATGATAGTGATCACGGCCATCGGCAACATGCTAGTTTGCCTGTCCGTCTGCCTGGTACGCAAGCTTCGTCGAGCTCCTAACTTCCTCCTGGTGTCCTTAGCCGTATCCGATCTGTGTGTGGCACTTCTTGTCATGCCGTTAGCCCTGCACTACGAGCTTGCTGGTGACTGGAGATTAGGAGCAACCATCTGTGACATGTGGGTGGCCTTCGATATCACATGTTGCACAGCATCCATTCTCAATTTATGTATGATCTCTGTGGACCGCTATTTAGCCATCACGAAACCTTTAACTTACGGAGTCAGGCGACGATCCAGACGAACTTACGTAAGCATTGGACTTACATGGGTAATGTCAGCTCTTGTTAGTGTTCCTCCTTTACTTATTCTTGGCAATGAGCATGGCACGGACAGCAATCCCACTTGCGATGTGAGTCAAAACTTTGGCTATCAACTGTATGCAACTTTGAGTTCTTTCTATATCCCTATGTTAGTAATGGTAATGATGTATTGCAAGATATATCTTGCAGCCAAAAGAGTCGTTGAATCAGATAAAAAAGGTCGCTTGGCGGCACAAAGATGTATTCCCAGTGCTTCAGAAAGCAATCCCGGACCTTATTCAGCTATTTGGGAATCAAAGAGCGAAAGATTGAATACATTTGTACAACTCAAAGCATCTGAGGTGAACAATCATAGAAGGCATTCTTCTATGGATGCAAGTGATGCAAACGCGACAAAAATGTGTACTCTGGAAGCCTACAGAGTAGGTGATCGCGCGGTAACGACGGTATGCAGACCCAAAATTTCCGCAATCGTAAAAGATAGAAAAGCATCCATCACTTTGGGCATCATAATGACAGCGTTTGTTGTCTGTTGGCTTCCGTTCTTCGTAGTGGCATTACTACGGTCTCTGTTCACAAATCTGTGGGTGCCACATGGAGTGCGAAGTTGTGTTTTATGGCTAGGGTACGCGAACTCGATGCTCAATCCGATAATTTATGTTACTTTTCATCAAGATTTCCGAAGATCATTCAAAGAGATGCTTTGCTTCAGGTGCCATCTGGTAAACGAAACTTTCCGAGAAGAAGCATACCGGGACCAGTACGGGGACACCCCTATGTATTCTGGACCAGCCCTAAACAAGTGGCAGTCAAATAGCGGCAAATCGTACACAGCTTCCGAACCCCGTCCCTCTATATGTGGTACAACCCGTCGCCTTGATTGTTGTGGTGTTAACAATAAGCACATGCAGAGCACATTCATGTAAAAATTCACGAAAAACTGTACATGTTAATCTTCAACAAATATCATATGTATGAAAGTAAGGAGAGATTTCGAGGTTATTTAAGTCACAAAATGAAACTTTTCATGTCGTAAAATGCTGTAATTTATAATGTGGAATATTTCATACTGTCGAACCAATTCTCGATAAGATGAAGTATAAACGTATGTTTTGAAGATATTTTTAAATTAATTGTACTTTTTATAAGAAAATAAACTTATACACCTTTTCCCCCCTAAGATAGAAGCATTTTTTAATAGATTAGTACACATTTCTGCTGTAATAACTCATCAACCAAAAACATATTTTCACTTGCAATGTATCGGTTTAAAATGCTTAGACATTTTCCAGTGCTTTAAAGGTAACAACAATATTTAGGTATTTCTTACGAGGTGTTTGTATATTATCCTTCTCTTTTACGTTCAAAGTCTCAATATCAACAAAACTCTAATGCTAATTTATAAAATCGTTCTTATCCTTTATATTAAAATTTCTGGGAATATTTCATAGCTTAGTTTGTTAAATTTTTAGCACTAATTTTTAGTTAGTTACTTTACATGTGTAAATGACAGAAAACCAATAAATTATTATTTAACTTTATAAAGCTCTGTAAATAACTTAAGACTATTTTTTTTTCTAGAAACACTTTTATTGACATTTAAATTACGAATTCACACGGATTTCTTCAAACGGAAGGAGATTCTTCTTCAGGCGATGTGCGGTTTCCCTTCGATGTAACCACACATCGTCTGAAATATTGTCCTTACTCTTTTGTAACAGATCTGGAATTCCGAAACTGAAATGTTTTCAAGCTGGTTGGCTACAACCGCTTTAATTGTTTTAAAACGTTTCAAACGTTGTTAGTTCTAAATTCTTCTCCTTTCAAATGGATTTTCATTTTAGGAACAGGTAAATTACATAGGCACTGAGATCAGGTGAAAACGGCAACTAAGATTAAAAGGGTTTTTTTTCCTGAGCCAAAAACACCGTTGTTGACAAAGTAGCATTCGCTGAAATTTGATGAGTTGTGTGATTCAAACTCAACTTTCTGCTAATATTCAACTGATGATCTAACGGCACACGATTCTTCGTATTGATCATACTTTTACATTGAAGTCCTCCCAGAACAAAGATAATCTTTAGTTGATTCTCAGCATTCTGAAAACTTTACCTGGAGACTTGTGCTCACCACAAAGCAGAGTTCCTACAGGCATGTGAAAGTTTTGCAAAAGTTACATTAGCATTCTTCTAGAATATAAAACAGAATTTAATAATGACTCTTTTCTCATTACTAATAATTCATTTAGAATCCATGATATTAATTTATTATTATTATCATTCCATTAGACAGAAAAATATTATCATTGTCCCTCTTAAGTGACTAAATGTATACCCAACAACATTTTCTTAAAGCATTAGCTTGAAAAATTTATACTTCTGTGTTCCACTGATATAAATTTAAAAGCTCAACGTATTTTCCAGAGACAGAATAAACATCTATTATATTCATAAGTAAGTAATTTAACATTCCCATGCACTCACCTTAAGTGTTGCTCTTATGGTCGTTTTCACATTGGAATGAAAGGGAAAGCTAGGAAATTATGGTTGCGAATAGAGGGGATGAAATGTTTTTGAATAGTTCGGTTAAGCTGAGCTCTTATAAACAATCTTAATAACATGAAATCTTGAACTCATTTTTCAAAATCGAAATTTCATCTTGTAATCAAAATACTGTATCTGGCTCCCGAAATTTCCTGAGCTTTTAAAATACTCATAGCATCAAATAAGGTTAAATTTCATAATCTTTTCGATTTAACTCTAGAATGCAACTATCATAGCTCGTAAAATAAAATGCTTTATGCATATGACAATATTGCTCATAATGATACATATCTTTCCTCAGAAATGAACTAATTTTCAATAGGAAAGAAAAATCATTCAATATGGTCTTCCATGTGTCTGAGAAATCCGAAAGGCAAAGCAGAATGGACTGATAAAGAAATGATCTTATTCACTTGACGTTAACTCTGAGTTTCAAACATCGCCTGGGAGAGGACTTTTCTTGCTAGAACTTCCGCCGCCGTTTCGCCGACAGGACATTCTGGTGGCAACTGATTCGATGTGGGTCATGCTGTTATTGTTGTCTTCTTGTCCATGTATTTCATGGAAGAATGGTTGCCAGAGACTCAAGATGGTTTTACTTCTACTTCCATTTTTGAGGGTTAGCATCCTAGAGAGTTGTCCGTGATACTCCCATTCCTCTGTCCTACCACCAAACCACGCGAGAGGACTTTCAGCTCGGCATATATTTAGAGTTCCCCCTTACCGCAAAGACACTATACACTTAAAAACCTCCATGCCTTCTCCGGAATTCAAGCCCGAGCCATTCTGTAACGCAGTCGCCTCCCCGAAGAACTATAGAGTCTGACCGACACCGTGGACCATTTCGTCATTACGTAGAAATGAAATACATAATAAAAGTTGCTTACATTTTATAGAATTGTTTACAAATATGGGAATATAAAGACATTACGCATATTAATTAGAAAATATGTCAGTATGCAAAATTATCAAATTTCATAATTATGAGCTAAAATTCTGATGTAACAGGATTATATTAACGTTTCTAAAACTATGCAGATTCAATGTGTATACGATTCGTCAAAATTTCTTGAAATATTAATCAGCTAGTTCAGAGAAATCATTCATGTAAGTAGGAATTTCACAATTTTGTGAAACCTTAATCAAAATTGGAATATTATTAGTACATTGCTATCTTAAAATAAATAGATATGTAGATAGATATACTATCAAGTTAGTGTAAAACTGTATACAGAAACATTTTATGTATCATTCAAAAGGTTTTAATACTAGGAATTGCTGATATTTCAATGTTAACAAACAATCTGCCCACCATTAAAATAGGTAAACAGAATTATTAAACTAACAGCCCCATTACCCTGCTTAAAACCCGGAGTAATCATTTTTAACTAGACCTGTCGAAATTCTAACAGCGCAGTGCGAGAGTCAGGATCTCTCTCTCTCTCTCTCTCTGTTTCTCTGTGTAAGATTCAAAACCCTCAGCTTATATACTCTAAGAGATTTTTGCATTCTGGTGAGGAATATGGGAATAAGAAGTTATGGTACAGAGCGAAATCAAAATAATTGATTAATTAACAGAAGAACCTTACACAATGCTTAGGAGATAATAATCAACTAATTTAATAAGTGGCAGGAAACAGCTTTGCTTAAGGAAACACTCTCACAATAGGCTTTTACATTCCCCATTTGTATTTCTTCTAATAGACTTGCATGATTATACGATCGGAATTACAAAATATTATAATTATGCAAATTACAAGGAAAATGTAGCTGATCGATTTATACAAATGATCTGAAATGCAAGTTTGCTATATAATAAGTCATTCAGATAGAAGAGAAGAAACATCAGATGAGTCAACAGTTAGTGCATTCTGTCTCCGTGTAAATATCGTGTTCGTCTCAGAAGATATATACGATTGAAGAAATGTCTGACAGACAATGCCGAAGTCAGTTTCGCAGTCCGACGTTTTCCTGAGGAGTTTCGATTTAGAAAGTGTGTTCACTGTGAGGAGGGTTTTGGAGATTGCGAAGATTATGTGAATCATTGCAAAGATACTGGTGCATCTAGATGGACTTCAGCACGCTATGATCGATGCATTAGAAGGCATGTTATGGCGGCCCACATGTGTTGAATATCTCAAAATTAGGGGTTTTAAACATTTATGACTTTAACTCGAACTTAACACATGGTGTCGAATAACAATCGTATAATGGTAGTACAAATTAAATTTTAGGTTCGCGTTGTGAGTAACCTATGCAAAAGGAAAATCAATAATCCAAATTCAATTAAAGCTCTATGTTTCTTAAAAAGCTTTCCAGCTCAAACAAACGGAGTGACATGACAGACCACCCTAAAAAATAAATACACAAGATAAAAAAATGCAATTAAATTTTAAACATACACATTTATTGATTTCTATAATAATATTATATTACTAAATATTGGATAACTGATCAGTAATCCTACCACGTATTTTACTACGAAAAGTAACACATAATGTCACACAAAATTTAAGCATACAATAATTAAAACATTTAGTTAATAATTAAAAATTTTTTCACAAATTAAGAAGGTGTAACATATTTTAATTCTCCAAATAAATGGTTCTCATTAATTAGAAACTAACATTTTCTGATTCACAATCTCAGTAGGTGAAACAAATTTAAAACATCCCAAAACTGGCCATCACTTGAAATAATAAATCACTTCTCAATTTTACGAACTGTAATATTTAATTTATATGAGAAATAACAATATAAACAGGTAGATAAATCATTATTAACTGTTCCACTATGGCATTTGGGAATACTTAAGAGAGAGAGAAAATAATCTTAAAAATTTCACTTACATATTCTTCGGAATACACAACCTTGAGGGAGTGTCCAGTTTTCCTAGTCACGGAGGAAGTCTATTTCCTTGACCCAGCACTTTGATTACAGTTTAACTAACACTCTCGCGCTGAAGTCCATTCTGTACAAGAATATCTGGAAACGGGATGAAGTCATTTTTTTTTTGTAAAACTAACCACCAGATCAAGAAAAGTTGGTTCTTCAGGAACATATTTCCGTGTGGAACGTCTAGTCGTTCGGAAGCCCAAGAGCGGGAAAGTAATAACTACACGTCGATCCGGAACTTCCAAGTGTCGGGCATATTCACTTCGGGAATATCAAATTTTCGGGGTCGGAAGAGATTATCCGGAGATTCTAGTAAAGAGGGAAAATCTGTTCTAAATTTTCTTGGCAGATTTGCTGTATACGTCTCGCACTAAAGTAGTAATCAGCTCTCAGCATCTTTGCAGCCAGCGCACATTTTCCAGACAACTCGAGAGGAAAATGTTCCTTGCATCTCGCACAAAAAAAATTTTAAACATTTCGCAGAAAAGAATGTATTCTCTAGAGCAAAGAAAAACGCAACCCAAGCCCTCTTGCTCCGGCAACCGGCCGCACGGCAAAGCCGGCAGCAGGGCAAAACGCCCCTCGTTCGCTTTTTTCTCTTTCACGTCGCCGCTGCTCAAAATCACTCCATATCAGACTCCAAAGAAAAAACCGTAACCGGAGCCCGCTGGTACATATCGCTCGCGAGAGCAAGACCCGCAAGGGGTCAAGCCCCCACTTTTTTCTCCTTTTTCTTTTAGCTCGATAATTAGAATCAGAATGAAATCTAACAAGGTAAACTCTCCTCTCCGGCCCCCCTAAAATTTCATTGGCTT